ATATGTGAAAGGTTCTATTTGGTATTATAGAGTTGTTCCTTCATCTAATCATTTTATGGTGTTTGGTTGACATAGCCTGATCGAGAGATTTTCTCACGAGAAGTATTTGCTTCAAAGGAGGAAGCGAAGTTCTTTTAGGATTATAGACTTCCCCATATTGCTTTCTCTACTAAAATTTGATTGCATAAACATGTAAATATCATATACCACCAATCTATGAAATGTTTTTCATCGCACTTGAAGCTATAATCTTAAAACAAAGGTCTGTTTTGTGTTTCACTTTGAGTTTGATAGGTCGAAATGGATCCTATTGACACTAAAATTGATATCTACGTGGCAGTGCCGGAGGTAAAAAACATAGTTAAGACATTGACAGTATGCTTTGGGAAGAGGAAAGTTAGACAGAGCAAATGGCAGAAGATACCTTTGAACTCATTTGATGTACCGTAGGCTTCTATTAAAACATAAACTTTCACAAAATTTGGGGGTGCGGGGAAGAATAAGCAATAGTTAAAATGGATGAGATAAAGGATACACTAGATAAGTTCCATGAGCAAATGCACCAGCCAAGACACCATAGAACAAACGATCCCTAAGAACTGGCTTGTGCCTCAGTGCTATCCTAACTGAAAACCCAAAAACATCAAATGCAATGAGGTATAAAAGATAAATAGCATATTCATCTAAAATTTCACAAACAAAAGATAATCTATAGAAGAATGATATATAATGAATTAAATAAGCAAGAATTGGATAGGATCAAAACTTACTGAGAGGAAGAGCCGGTGCATAAATAAGCGGAACCAAATATTCAAATGCCGGTCCTTTTCTCCTCCTTATAACTTGCCTTCAACAAAAAGAAACTCAAATTCAACTCACAAAGAAACCACAAGAGAAACAAAGTTTATATAACAACTATCTTGCTCAGACTCTTCATTCATCTATAGTTCACTCTATTTAGGTGATCGCACCTTGTTGTAGTTGTTACGATTCCTTGCATATAGTTGTTACTGCTTTGCTTTTCGTTATCATGTTTCTCCCCCTCTACCTTCTTTTCGTTTTATTACTACTTCCGGGCCAAGGGTCTTTCAAAAATAACCTATCCGAGGTAGTTATAAGGACTAAAGACTACATACACTCTACCTTTTCCAGACCACACTTTGTGAGATTTCACTTATGTTGTTGTTGTGCGTGTCGGATCCTCCAAAAATAGTGTACTTTTGGAGGATCCCACACGGATGCAGTAGCATTTTTGGAGAGTCCGAGCAATATAGTTTAAAAAATACACTATAGTAGCCTATTTATCAAATTGCATTTAAACAAGCTGATATACCAAAGAAAAATGGACAAAGAGCTCAAAGTAACTTACGAATCAGAGGATGAATCCATGAAAACAGAAATTCAAGAGCTAGCTAAGCAAAAATTCAATTGTGGCAACAATTGAAAATGCCAAAATGTTTCCTGTGAGTCATAACAAACACTATTTATGTGAGTCTATTTTACAACTAATAACTCTCTATCACAAACCCAATAATTTGAATTACGATATCTTTAGACAATTACAATTATCGAATAACTAAATACAATTTTAAACAAAAGCTCAGATTAGATTTAAAAAAATTCGAAGAAAAAAGCATAGAAATGGAAAAAAGTTGATGAAAAGAAGACATACCTAGCCGCCCGTATGAGAAGACGAAGAAAAGAGAAGAGTTTTTGTTCAAAGAGAGTTACAAAACTTTTATTGTGATTTGTGTGTGTCTATATTTTTTTTTTGGGAAAAGTTCAAATATATTTCTCCACTTTTTTAATTATTAAGTTTATTCCTATCCTAGTTATATTTGAATGAAATTCTCAAAATCAATTTTACTAGTAATAATTTGAGATGAGTTTAAATTAATTTATTTTGAATGAATTTTCAATTGTATCCAACCCACAATCCATCAAATTAAGTGGGCATTTTACCATGATTTTAAAAAAAAATAATTAGAATTTTAAAGTTGGATTCGAGTTTTGTTTGGTCATACCTTTTGCAAAGAATCTATGGGGATATTTTCTCACTATATAGAGTTTCACAATTTTCAGGGTGATTTTTGGACATTTAAGGGCCAAATTCTAAGAATTCGTGAGTTTCTCAGCTTTTCGTGTGTGTTAACCGATGAATATTTTGGTGATATAACTTCTGGACGATTTTTTTATGAAACCTTTATGGAACCCTCCGTAGGGACGTGGGGGAGTAGTACGTACAATCTCACCATTTTTAGAGTGATCTTTCGACATTTAAGGATCAATTTACAAGAATTGAGCGATTTTCTCAGTTTTTCGTGTGTTAGCCCATGAATATTTTGGTGATATGACTTCCGAATGAATTTTCTGCGAAACCTTTATGGAACCCTCAGTAGGGATTTGGGGGAACAGTACGTATTGTCTCATTATTTTTTATAGTGAACTTTAGGCATTTAAGGCCAATTTATAAGAATTGGGCGATTTTCTCAATTTTTCGTGTGTTTTAGCCCATGAATATTTTGATGATATGGCTTCCGAATGAAATTTTTGCGAAACTTTTATGGAACCCTCCGTAGAGAATTGGGAGTGTGGTACATATAGTCTCACCATTTTTACGACATTTTTGGACACAACCTTAGGTATTATTATTGAGAGTAAGCTTGGTTTTCTTTAGGAATTTTTGGGGAAGAGCTTTGGAAAAAAATATATTGATCATATTATTTTATTTTTGCTATTGTTAATCCACATTGAGTATGGTATAAAATCAATATCAAAATTGTAATATAAATAATTTTGAAATTGCTTTTACTAAAATCAAAAAATTATTAAAAAGTATATATAGTTTAGTGTGCTAAGCTTCTTGTTATGAAATCGGACTTTAAGGATCTATTATAAATAACATTATCATATATTTCTATAAAAAAAATTGTACACAATTTTACTTTATATTTCTCCAAAAGATTAGTTCTATAATCGAATGTGTGACCTTGTGATGACATGGTGAATTAAACACTCAAAATCCTTCATAAAATGACATGGAGATGTTTTCATTTCATCTTCTTGGAAGACAATAATTTTGAAAGTGGCTTTTTCGTAGTTATCATTTTCTTATATACTTATTTATATTTTATTTATAGGGAAAGCAGAAAATAGTAAAGTATTTATCTTTTTCCTTGACAACACACAAGTCACTCCAAAGAAAAACAGCAAATGTAGTAAAAAAACAAATTGGTACTTCATAGTAGAAGGACAAAAGAAATGACTCGTGAGAGCCCACATGGACAAGTATTTGAAGTTAAAAAATAAAAAAATGTATGTGATTTTGAAAATTCAAGCAATGACATTGTGACAGTGTGATAATTACCTTTTTGTTTTTAATCAGAATTTTTACATTCCAACCTTGGATATGTAGTCGTTTTTGATAAAAAGCGTTTTATTTCTTAAAATAGAACTTTTTGATACGAATCTAAATTAATCAAGCTTCAAAATAGACACCGAACATCGATTATGAAACAAGAAAAAACAAATTGGGTCATATCTCTTGGCTAAGGAGCCGCTTTTGTAGGGATTAGGGAGGTTATTACATTATAAAAATTGAGATTAAATCTGTTCAATATTTAATTATAAGTATTATTAGTCTCGAAATATTTTTTCATGCACATGATGTTTAATGTATAAATATTGAACTTAATTATTTTTATGCAATTTTAATCTCCATGTAGATCTAAATCTACATCTTACATGTCTTCATTGACCCAAGTTGATGGTCAATTCTAGTTTCAATGTTGCTCGAACTTTTTTAAAAGTGAGTAAAGTATTATATTTTAATAATATTTTTGAAAAAATCAAGTAGCATAGTTGATTCTTCACATCTTAATTTTTATCGATTGGTTTGGTTTACCATATTAGAAAAAAATAATCTCAATATAAATTTTTACTTAAGTTGTATGTAGATTATTTGATTGATTGTATGAAAACATTATCAACTTGCATTGCAAATATATATACACAAAATAAGAATAATATATTTATAATGCATGAATAAAAATAACAACATATAAAAAAATTTCCTAAAAAAAAAGAAACTTTGGAGTTCTCAATCAACACAATGAAGAAATGTCAATCGACGCCTATTGAACAAGAACAACTCAATTTTTACTTTTCCTTTTAATGATCTTTATATAACACGATCAAGTTTTATTGAAACTTTAAAATAGATAACGAACGACGGATCAGACACCAAATTAAAAGAAGGTGATAGTCTATTCTAATTCGATAAATCCACTCTTCTTTGAGATGAGTAGAAAAGATAAACAACAACTACACACCAGCCTCACAATAATTTTATCCTTCCATTTTTAAATTCTTCATCCTAAAATATTATATTATTTCTAATTTATTTTAACTATCACATTGGTGGACAATACTAAGGTTAAACAAATGCATTGCACCTCTCAACATCACAAAGAAGACAATATGATATATGGTCATTTGCCTACCAGAGAAGTGTTTTCATTGGACTTCTAACAAACACTTTCTCTAAAACCGGGTTTGAATTTATGAGTTCTAAATTTTAAAATAATGATATTATGTGTTCATAATTAGATTTTAAATCTAATTTGTATACATGTTTTTGATAACTATGTCACACTCAGATTAATAATTTATCATAAACAACATCTCAACCTTGAGCTAAGCAACTATCGAGAACAATCTCTCTATTTTTTGAAGATATATAGGAGTAAAAATGCGCACACACTGCCCTTTCCAGATCAAACAAACTCAAACATCATTTATGAAATTACACTGAATATATTGTTGTTGTATCTGCGTTGCCTTCTAGCTCTATCCCTACTTGCAAGTTGCATCAAGATGTAGAAAAATTGATTCTAACACTCAAATTTGAATCAAAAGAAACATCACAATTTACAACAAACACACATTATTAAAGCACAACACACAATTTTAGAACAACAACTAAAAGTAGATGCAAACTAGCAAAACAAACACAAAAGACATTCATTCAACAATTCAAGAAACTTTCTTGAGATGAAATTCAACCTCTAAATTAATAAGGGTAAATCTAATTAACAACATGAAAACAAACACAACTAAATTAAAAATTTCCAGATCTACACCTTATTTTATCCTTCAAGTAAGTGTAGATGATGTCCATACAATATCCTTAAGTGCTGGTCTAAGCTCTTTGCTGCAGAATTGATTATACTCCAATGTATCACCACTAGCTTTATTCACTTCCACAACTAGAAATGAATTTGTCACAGCAAATATATCAGCAGCAATTCCCAATTTCCCTTTTCTCCCAGTCACTTGTCCTTGTAGCCTTACACATGAATCACTCTTTTTTACGCTGAAATTCGATGTCTTTGCTACCTCCTCAAGCTTAGATATCACACTACTTGCTGACCTAGTAGTCGCGAATCTCATATGTTCTTTCTCATTCCTCTTATTCTCTTCGAACAAAGGTGACAAATCAAACCCCTCAGATAACGAAATGATATGAAACGCGTTCATTGTCTCAACTTCTTTACAAGCCTTATCTGAGGCAAATGCAAATTCTTCCTCATCTTTGTTCCTTAACGTCCTTGGGATTGATTTCTTGAACCATGATGAATCCATGATCTTCGAGGTGGTGATTCTTGAATTGGGATTCGGATCCAACATCTTCGTGATCAGCCTCCTAGCTTCAGAAGAAAACCAAGGTGGACATTTGAAATCACCCCTATAAATCTTCTTATACATCGCCATGATGTTTTCTTCTTGAAATGGTAAAAAACCGGCTAACAAAACATAGAGAATCACTCCACATGACCAAATATCCGCTTTTGAACCATCGTAGCCTTTTTTACCAATAACTTCAGGGGCAACATAAGCCGGAGTTCCACAAGTTGTGTGAAGCAATCCGTCCTGTCTTAAATGTTCCGTAAATGCACTTAGCCCGAAATCAGTAACTTTGAGATTTCCTTCTTCATCTAACAACAAGTTCTCAGGTTTCAAATCGCGATGAAATACTCCTCTGCTATGACAGAAGTCGATAGCTGAGATCAGTTGCTGGAAGTAACCTCTAGCAACATCCTCTCTCAGCTTGCCTTTCGCGATCTTCGCGAAAAGCTCACCTCCTCTAACGAACTCCATGGCGAAGTAAATCTTAGTTTTGCTCGCCATGACTTCGTGGAGCTCAACTATATTCGGGTTTTTCACCATTTTCATTACGGAGATTTCTCGCTTGATCTGATCCATCATACCGACTTTAATGACTTTCTCTTTACCCACTACTTTCATGGCAACATTTTTACCATTCTGCACGTTTCGTGCGTGATAAACTTTCGCGAATGTTCCATGGCCTAAAAGCCGACCAAGTTCATATTTTCCGTTCAAAGCTCCACATTTCTCTTCCGGAGCCATTTTTTTTTTGTTCCAAATTGATTGAAAAAAGAGACTAAAGATTGAAAAGGGTGTTTGAATCTGTTAATAAAAAGGGATTTGGTGAACGGAGAAGGCGAAAACGGGTGAGTGATTCACCCGTCTTCAACGTGTTTCCGGTGGCAATTCCTGCCGCCGGCGACTGATTTTTGGATATTTCCGGCGTAAAAAAGGGGATTAGAAAATCGAGAGCCTCTCATCTCTCTGCATTCCCTAGCTGGATTTTCTCTCCAAAAATTGGAAAGGAAAAAAAAAATGGAGATTTTATTTTTGTTTACTGAAGAAAAAAAACAGAGCACTAATGGGTTTTTTTCACTAATCTTTCTGAATGGAGGCTATTAGCATGAATTTATAGTTGGTTCAAGGGTAAAGTGGTCATTTTTTTTATAGAACATAATTTTCTTTTTCCGTTCGGTGTCCGAAGATTACATTAGAATCCCAACTAAATTTGAACCGTACAATACAAACTTATTCAGGGCAATGCTTCCAACAAAATTTTCTTCGTACGAACTTGAGACCTAATCACTGCACCACAACAACGTATTGATAGAACATAGAGTTGTGATGATCTAACGGCCATGGTTTTGCTATTTTAACACGTGGAGAGATCGTAATGGATTAGAGGGAATCTTGTAGGATATTTTAGTCAATTATAGAGTGACACGTGTATGAACAGCTAGGATTTTAGTATGTTTGACGTGAAGAATTTGGTAACTCCAAAATTTGGTTAATTTCTATGACTGTTTTACCCTTTGTGCCACATTTGGAATAGTTTTTGGTTAGTTACCTAAATGTAGAGTGAATTATTGAGATTTAGATTCAAGGGTAGAGTTGTAATATTATATTTCACTCAAAATATGGTTAGTGGCCTAATTTCATCTTAGAAGGTTAGTAAATGAAATACTAAAAAAAGTTACTGTATATAAATTCAATTCAATTAACAAGTATCTACTTTATATTATACTCAAAAACATTATTTTTATTTATTTGGTATGTTCAATTAATACTTTCCTTGAATCAGAGGTTTATAAACCGTCTTTCTAAGTTCGCAATAAAGATAAGACTTCATATTGAAAGAAAAATCAATCACGTTTATGCTGATTGTTTTGTATCTTGCTAGTGTATTTTCACATTTTTCTTACAAATATGCTTGTTTTTCTTTTATTTGAATCGATGGCTTATTAGGAATAAGTTTTCTACCCTATAAAAATAGGAATAAGATTTATGTACATTTTATTATTCTCAAATTTTATTCGTAAATTATATTGAATATACTATTGTTCTTTTAAGTTTATAACATGACAGTATGAAAGTCATGTTATGATCATAACATTTTTAAGATCATACGTTCTAAAAATACTCAATCAATAAAATTCGTATTTAGTCAAATGCATAAAAATTGGGTATTTTTGACAATTTTTGAGCCGGTAATCAAATTTAGCCAACCTTTCAAATATAATTCGAAAAAATTAATAACCTCTTAATTAATGATATTTTATCAAAAATTTCTTGTATAAAAGAGTAATTCATTTTTTCAAAACTTGTAGACAAAAGTTGAAGTACCTTTATATTATTGGTGGCAGATTGCAATAATTGAAAATTTTGATACTAGCCACAGATTCTGACTGACAACGAGATGATAAGCTGACGTGGACTCTCTCGGCCCGTGGGTCCTATTAACGGAATTGATCGAGCACGAAGTTTAAGAAATAAATCACGAGAATTTGCAATATTCTAAACTTATGCTAAAATAATAACATTTTAAATGAAAGTTCACTTTCGCTGAGTTTTTGTGTAATAAGTAATATCCAACATAAGTAAAATATTGACAGTGATATTAAAAATATTTGTCAAATAAAGAAATTCATCGTTCTTTTATCAGTCTAAGAAATGAAATCGTGTCTTTTAACAACTATTTAATTATAAATTTTCACGTCACATGTTTAAAGCCATAAGATTAACGAATATACACTTTACATATTTTTAGCGTAAAATCATAAAATTCAAAAAAAATATATACTTTCTTAAACTTTTGTTTTGGTAAAATTTTCTTAAAAAGTATCAAGTTAAATTAGACAAAGGATTTAAAACAAATGAAGTATATAATAATTCTCATTCGGGAATTTTTATTTGGCGTAAGTCACCTCCGACAAATGGAGTATTTAATAATACTCCACAACATTAATCGATTGTGTTTCACGCTAAATAATATTTGTTTTTCAAGTAGAAAAATAGGTTATATTTAAACTATTTTTACCATATTATAATATAATTAAATATAAAATATAACAACATAAATGTAACATGTTTGAAATATATATATCTATTTCTCTTTGATTGAGTATCTAAAATAACCAAGTAAGTACTAATTAGATAAAGAATTATTCACTATTTAATTTCTTAATATATTTACAAAGAAAGTTAAATAAGATCAAAGATAATCCAATTATAAAGTTATTCTTATAGTAACTCATTTATTTTAGATGTTAACAAACCACCTTCTCACCTAACTATTTAATTGTTTACCTTATTGGTGGTCCTAATCATAGTCATACTTATGGTAATTTATTTAACTGAAAAAATGTCTAATTTAGTAAAATAATTATTTCTCATTAAGGGATAGTAGCACTTTTAGTCCCTCAAATAATGAAAAACTTTATTCTTGGTTCTTATGATTTCTGATTAAGTATATTTAGTTTTGGATTAATTGATACATGCACTTTTGATTCTCATAACTGTGATCTTCACATATTTAACGAAATATCAAACATCACGTCATTCAATTAACAATGTATTATGTTAATTTTTTTTATTGGTACGCTATAAATGAGGATGATATGGTTCTAACTTCTAAGAATAATTTTTATATCACATGTTTCATAGATGAAAAACACATTACTTAGCTCATTAAAAATTAAATATGCTTAGTCAAATATTATAAGGATAAAAAACAAAAAATTATTAATGACTTGAGGAATTAAAAGTGCAATTATTCCTTTAATTAAACTTCTTTATTATTAATATCAGAAACTTTTATGTTTTAATCTGATATTACCATATAGTTCCTTAAAAGAAAAAGGTACAACAAATCATATAGAATATCCAAAGCATATGAGAGATCCACTGCATCTTTAATTAGTTTTAAAATAGAAATAACTGCTGGCATTTTTCTCAGCAAAAATAAATAAATAATTTTCAGAAAATGCATTTATTTTAAATATTTGATTTTTCTCTTGGGGCTCCATAATCACTTTAGAATCCCGACAAATTCAGGTTTACATATTGAAAGTGAAAATTCTCCATACTAAAAATATTTTTCTTTTTTTGAGTTTAAACTCGAAATCTCCAATTAAGAGTGGACAACTCTATTTATCTATATTCATTCTCTCGATAAGCTGAAGATTCATTTTGCTATGTCTAGTTATACTAATTATATTAAATATATCAATCAATTTAGAAAATATTCTAGTTCTCCAAGATAAGTTTTTCTAACACTTGATATTGTTGGACAATAATTTACTTTTAAAAAAATAAAATTATAAACATATTATTTTTCCATGTGATGAAAATAGGAGAAATTGCCTAGAAGTTGTAGTTTTTCTGCATATTCATATCAAATACTATGATTTTGGACATGATTTAAATTAAAGGAAAAAGCCAAGAAAGTAGTAGAAATTAAATATGAGGTTATTCATGAAACATCATGCTTCATATTTGGCGGCCAAAATAGACAATTTTGGCACCATTTTGCAAGTAGAATTATATTTTTCTCAAAAATAATTTTCAACTAATTGATCCCACCAATAAATATAAAGTTTTTTTTTTCTTTCTTTCTTGTCCAATTTGACCACTTAATTGAATAACAAAAGAGATGATATATGCATCACAAATTTGAATTAATCGAGTCAACAAATATCAAATGGTTATAATACTCATAAAAAAATGATATGTCAAAATTTTTATCTTGTCAAAGATTATAGAGCAACTTTCACATATAGCAAACATAAAAATCATATGTGTATGTTATAGCTATAGTTTGCATAATTGCGCTCCATAACTAAATTTTATGTTTGTCATGGAGCTTTTGATTTGTATAATTCGCTACAAACATCCAATTTTATACAAAATTGTTCAGTTTTGTATAAATGAAATAAATTCATTTATACAATTGTAATTTGTATAATAAGATCTGTATTTGTATAATTATAAATGTATAGGACGAAAATATATGTATTTGTATTTGTATATACACTTTTCTCTCGCTTTATACAAACACAAACACATTTTATACCGAAATGTATAAAATGACTAATTATATACCGAAAATGGCTAATTGTATACCGAATCAGATGAACAAAAAAAGGGATGTTTGCTGCGAATTACAATTAAAATAAATTATGACTATAGTATTTAATTTGAATTAATAATTTGCTATTTCATACAATTTTCCCCAAGATTATATGCTAGTTTCATAGATATCCCGGTGAAGGACATCTATTTAAAATATAGCAAAAATACAACACTTTTAAACTTCAGCAATTTCTATCAAACCTTATGCATGAGGTTCGAATTTTCGAATCTTAGTCCTTCGAGTTGGAGCAGGGGCGGAGGCAGCCTTCTAACTGGGGGTTCATCCGAACCCCCTTCGACAAAATATATTACAATTTATATATGGTTAATTTTTTTTTTATGTATATATAGTAATTGTCGAACCCCCTTCGATTAGTTCGTGTGTTTAGTCCTGTTGAACCCCTTATTAAAATTTTTAGCTCTGCCACTGAGTTGAAGCTTGTCAATCCTGACTTCAGACTTCTAATATTGAGTTTGACTCGTATATAGTAAGAGTGAAAGAGAGGGAGAAAGAGAAGGAAAATAAACGTTTTTTTAATTACTTTTTAAATCAGAGTTTCATTTGAAGTTTATTTTCTTCAAGGTAAAATTTATAAAAAAAATATTAAAAATTGGCTAAATCTTAAATAACACATGTAAAAGTAAAGATAAACACTATAAATTCATATCGTTTCTTAAACTTACTTGGGATTGAGACATTTATTAGGTAAGCACTTAAGGAGTTGTGGATCCTTTTATTTTTGACCAAATCAATATGAGAAGATTAAATTTAGAACTAACAATTAATTAGTTAATCGATAAAATTACTATCGTTGAAAATTCTAGAATAATCACTTCTAAAAGGTTAAAATTGGTTTCATCATCAAAACCGACCATAACATATGTAACACTTAAAAAATAAAATTGTGAATGCTCAAAGTTGTTAAAATTGACAAGAAAACAATTAATTTCAACTGTCAAAATCCAACT